GAGTAATTTCTTGGCTCTTCAAAAATAACATGATTGCTTCATGTTCAAAACACTGTTATTCTTTATATGTGGAAATTTTGCTCTTTGAAAGATTTCCCCTTCCAATAAAAAATTCTAGAAATACACACTTGACACTAGATTGTTGCTAAATCTATAACCTTCACTAAAAACCAGCAGCAAAAACAACAAAAACCCAAAAGCAATGTACTCTCATTCAATTCTGTGTAACCCAAAGACCCACAATTTAGAACTCTTGATTCCATGAAGCTTTCCTGCCTTCTCCAATCTCACTGCCATTGAGTCGACCCCGACTCATAGCAACGCTACAGGACAGGGTAGAACTAACTGACCCTGGGGGTTTCTGAGATGGCAACTCTATGAGAGTAAAAAGCCTCATCTTTTTCCTGTGGTTCTGCCTTCTAGACAACAAATTTCTAAGACGATTCACTTTTAAAATACATTGGGGTTCTGGATTTTGGTTTTCAGCTGACCTAGTCAATTAATCTTAATTGACCGTGCCTGGCTAAATCTTCCCCAGCAGAGGTTTCCCATTACACACATTACTCGGATGCCCACAGGTGCAACATACAAAAGCGTTTTTATTTCCCACTGCTGCTTAAGTTAATTAAACTCTTTCACTGGACTCAAATGTACAGAACAAATGTGTGGAGCTTTACTAACTTAAGAGCATATGCTGATTTTAAGCTTCAATTAATACATCCAGTGATTCACTAGTACCTTTTCAAAGCTAACTCTGAAGATTCTCTTTAATTCTCTGTCACTTGAAAAATAAAGTATTATTGGTTTAGAGGTTAATTATGATAAGGCCAGGGTGTATCTTGTTTTTCAATTTAATTTTATGATGTGTGCTAATTATCAAACTTTAAAATGTATTGATTACGAAACTAAACATTTTTCCATTAATTTAATTCATGAGAAAAATCTATTTAAACCATACTTGTATGTGAATAAATAAATGAGAGGAACAATATACCACCAAGATGATTCAAATGAGAACATGGTTCATCAGTGTCTGCCAATGGGAACTATGCATACAGTGGAAATAGTAGTCACAGAGCCATGACACTTTGGTTCAAACTGTAATTAGCTTCATGAAGCAAAGGCCTTGGAAACATTACTACGTTGGCCTTAGTTTCATCACTGGTAAAACAAGAGTTAAATTAAATGATACTTAATGGTTGTAATAGCCTGGAATACTTGATTCGTGTAGAGCAGGGATAAGCAAACACTTTCTCTAAGAGTCGGGTAGGAAACATTCAGCTTTACGAGATGCACAGTATCTGCCACTACTTAACTCTAACAAAAAGGCAGGCAGAGGCCGTACACGAACGGGCCTATTTTCCAATAAAACTTTACTTACAAAAACAGACAGACCCATAGACCAGTTTTCCAATCCCTGATGTTGACATCAAATCCCATTTCCTATAATCTAGTTCCCTGCAAACTTTACACACTGGTTGAAAGAAATATTAAAACTAAATTATTTGTTTCTTATATGAAGGGAGTTTAAAAGTTTATGGAAAAAACTGAAGTAAAGTTAATATAAATTTTCCACAGCTCCTTCATATGTGTTGCAAATATGCACATGAATATCAATGCACATGGGGGGCAAAATTATGAAAATTTGAATGATAATCAAACACCTTCAGGGACTGAGTCACTGGGCCTAGTGCCTTAGGACCATGGGGGAAGGGCACTTAGGGGCATCAAGGCTAATTGACATAACATAGTCCACAAAAACAAAGCTCTATAATCCTGCTTCGGTGAACAGCAGCTTGGGTCTTCTCCTCATTTGACATATACAAGAGTGAAGAAAATCAGACAGGAGGAAATTTTCAGCTCAAAGGACTAACAGATCACATGAACCTCAGCCTCCACAACCCTGAAACCAAAAGAACTAGATTTGACCTGGCTAGAACTCCTAACCAGTCTGAAATGAATCACAATTGAAGGTGCAGGGTGGAGAAAAGCTGTGAAACAAAACTCAAAATCACAAAAGACACCAGGCTGGTTGGATAGACAGGTCCTTTGTCACTCTTCAAACCCAAAACTAACTGTTATTCTCAACTTTCAGCCAAGCAACAGACTGGTCCCTAGAAGGTGAGCAATAACATCAGTGAGGTTCATGTTCCTTAGATGAATCAACATGTGAGATCAACAGGACAGCATTTGGCAGGGACAAAGACCACAGGCAGGAAGGTAGAGGAAGGAAAATACTAAACCCAGGAAGAAGGGGGCAAGGGGGCTGTTGTTACACTGTTGTGGGTGACTGCAATCAATGTCACAAGACAAAAGGTGCACGGACAGTTGAATGGAAAACCAATTTGCTGTTTACTGCTAAATCACAATGGAAAAGTGAAACCAACCAACAAAACGAACCTCCCTCTTTAAAAAGATTGTGTTCTTGCTTTGTTATTAATAAACCACGAAAAATAAGGTACAAAACAAATTTGAATGTCTTTTTAAAAAACCGAAATCCAAGAACGAACCACAAATTTGAATGTCCTCACATGCTCTCCTTATCCCTCCATATCCTCATTTTGCCACTGCAGTGAGTCTCCCAGGCCTTGCGAACCTCTTAAAAGCATGCTATCCTTTATTTTTGTACTATCAGTAAGTCCTTTCTCCTCCTGGTAACTTCTAACTCTTCCCCTAAATCTAACATATCTTTCCTCCTTTAGATGTTATCTTAAAACTCCACTTTAGTCACGTCACGTCTCACCTTCAATGCCTCCTTTCTACTGCATCAAATCTAAACCCAAATGGACTAGATGCAGTAGTTATCAACCTTTCTAGTGCTGCGACCCTTTAATAGTTCCTCATGTTGTGATGACCCCCAACAATAAAATTATTTTCGTTGCTGCTTCATAACTGTAATTTTGGTACTGTTATGAATCGGGCGACCCCTGTGAAGATGTTGTTCAGCCCCCAAAGGGGTTGCAACTGACAGGTTGAGAATCACTGGGTTAGCCCTCTTTTTCCTTCACCCAATCAGTGTTACTTCCTGTAAGATTTCAACATCTATGGGGGAAAGAGGGGAAAAAAGAAGAGCTGATACCAAGGGCTGAAGAAGAAAGAAAATGTTTTGGAAATGATGATGGCAACATATGTACCAATGTGTTGATACAACTGATGTATGGATTACTGTAAGAGCCCCCAATAAAATGATTTATTAAAATAAAATAATAAAGAATTTGGTCTGTGGAAAAAAAAGATTTCAACATCTACTCTCTGTCTGAGGCTGGGTGTTCGCTAGTGGGTCCTAGCAAAGTCATTTCTGTGCCTTTACTACTACAGTAATTGACTCAACTTATTCTTTCAATTCATCCAAACTCAAGGCTCAGTTTTTCTATAATGTCTTATAAAATCAATATCAACAGAAATAAATTTCTACTGAATTTAGATGCAGTGTCATACGGGGTCAGGAGTCTTGATGGCACAAGAGTTAAGCACTCAGCTGTGGACTTAAAGGTTGGCAGTTTGAATCAGTCTGTAGTTCCACAGGAAAAGAAACCTGCCAATCAGCCTCAGAAAGATTATAACCAAGAAAAGCCTATGGGGTGATTGTACTCTGCCACATGGGGTTTCTATGTGTTAAAATTGATTCAGAGGCATCTAATAACAACATATGGAGTTGCTGAGTAGTGCAAAGTTAATACACTCAGCTGCTAATAAAAAGTTGGAAAAGCTAGTCAAAAGACTGCACATTCATGCCTACCCTTCCGAGAAAAGCCTAGCAGCACACCTATGTAAAACAAGCCATTGAGAACCACACCAGGCAGTTACAATCTGACACACATGGGGTTGACAGGAGTTGGAATCCACTGGATGGCAACTGTTTTATCATACAGCTTAGATTTAATTTCCTGTAACTGGTTACAACTTCCAAACTAGGCCGCGTACTCATGTATATGGCCAACACTGAATAAAATGCTAGGAAAAAATAGGTCTTAAGTATACACAGTCTGAGGGAATTGAATTCAAGAGCTAGAGTTCTGACTACTTCTTTTAATTCTTATCACTTTATCACCATTTAGTTTGTGCTTCATACTCTTTAAGCTTCCCAAGCATTGAAAGCACATAATACAGTGTCTGACACAGAAACTAATCAATAAATGTTTCCTGTAAATTTTTAAGCCTGACAAGACAGGTGGTGCTAAGCATTTCATTCTATGGCCAGAAAGCCCAACAACTAGAACCTGCCCTACCAAGACAATGGGTCATAGCTATGATACTCATTTAAGGGTATTATACATTGTTGTTGCCCACTAGTCACAAAGCTGCTATTTCAGTTCCACATTTTATCTCTCTATAGGGTTATTAGGATAAGTCAAAAAGTATTGCTATGAGGGCTCCACCAGTTCATAGATGCATGGCATATTCCAAATAAAATGTGTTCAACGTGTTACCATAACCAGTGGATGGCTGCATGTTCTCAGTGACACATTGGATGTGCCCTCACTGACTGACTGTCATCAAGTTGGTGGGGAACCCTAAAGGAACCCAATAGGTCAGAGTAGAACTGCCCCCGTGGATTTCCAAGATTTTGTCTTTTTAATCCCCTCAAGACTGTTTAACTGTTTAAGGGAGTAGAAACTCCTGTCTTTCTCCCTTACAGACTGGTGGTTTTGAACTGCTGACCTTGCATACAGCAGCCCAACATGTAACCAATAAGCCACCAAGTCTCCTGCTTGGTCTCCTTGTTAGTTGTTAGGTGCTATGAAGTCATTTCCAAGCCATAGCAACCCTATATAAGGCCATGGTGTGCATAGGGTGACTCCGGTCTTACTATGGTGTCTTCACCAAAACAAGTCAATCAAAATTTGGTGTGTGTGTAAAGGTACTTTTCAACAGCCTGGGAAAAAATGAGACTCAGTTTTCATTCTAATGTGAAAAAATGAAACGTATCAATATCTATTAAACTCATGGTTAATATTTAGCAAGTGTGAACAACAGCAACAGCTGTTTTCTCTACTCACCTCCTTAATGGCCTCTTCATTAGGAAGCATAGAACATAAACATGTGATGTAGGCTTGTTGAAAAGATGACACATTGGAAATTTCTTTAGATTCTGCACATAGTTTTGATAAAGCTGTAGCCTGGGTTATGCAGTTGGATTTCAACAAATGTTTTATTCGCATTTGCAGAAACGAAGATCCTTCTTGTGCAATCAACTTATTGACTAAAAAACAGGAGAAAACAAAGTTTTTTGGTAGCATATCATGCAACAAACACTCCAGGTTTGTTATGGTGAGGTTTTAATCTTTTATTTTGTGTTGTTTATACTGATCTCAGTACTTAACCAGCAAAACAAAGTGCACAATCAATGTTACTAAACATTCCCATGTTAGTTAACAGTCTTATTTTGAACATTAAAGTTCACAAACTTCATCAAAACTGATGATTTGAGCATCTTTTCCCTCACTTGGGAAAAGTGACAGTAAGGAACAGTGAAATGAACTATAAGCAAAGATGCAGAAAAAGCAAGTCACCTAGAAATCTTAACTTGAACACTTTAAGAGGTACCAAGCTGCAAGTGGCTTTATATACCTTTTATTTATTCCTCACACCACCACCAAGGCAAGTCTTATTATCCCCAGTTTAAGGTTAGGGAAGTCAATATTCAGAAAAGTTAGGTCACTTGCCAAGGGTTCCAAAGCCAGTGGTGCTCTTTCCTCTAAACCAGGCATTTCTCAAAGTGTTTTCCACCGACCAAAAGACCTGAGAGATAGTCCTAGAAGAAAAAAAGGATTCCTTGGTCAAATATCTGAACAGTCCTGCAATAAAGAACACTGTTCATTTTTTAGTTAACCCAATGGTTCCCAGATGAATTTGACCAGAGAACCCTTTTACACTTATTAGTACCATATATAAAAGCTATGTTCCTGATTCAGTACACACTTTGAGAAACACTTTCTTGAACCTGAACTACAGTGAAGATTGAGCACCTAAGCACAAATTGTGTGGAAGTCAGGATGTGTCCTGAATTAACAGTAGATACTTAACAGGTAGATGGCATCAATTAATACTTAGTATTTCTTAAAGAATACAAGTGGTGAGTGAAAAAAATGGCTTTATGTGGCTAGTAATCTTGTTTCTCAAGCCTTATAAATCACCTAGGGATTCTAAAATGCAAACTTACCGTATATACTCGAGTATAAACCGACCCGAACATCAGCCGAGGGACCTAATTTTACCACAAAAACAGCATTAAAAATGTGCTGAAGAAACTCAGCTTATACACGAGTATATACGGTATTCAGCAGGAATGGTTTCAATGGTTAAAAGCAACTTAAGAGATAGGCAGGAAGAAATAATGAGGAATAAAAGGAAAACACAGGGAGGAAGTGAAATAGGTGCTATTACATTGTGGGGCCTGCAATCAATGACATGAAACAAATGTGTAGGTATTGTTGAATGGGAAATGGATTTGTTCTATAAACTTCTACACAAATCACAATAAAAAGTTCATAAAGTGTTGAAAAACAAAACAAAGATGTCATTTTTGAGGACTAAGGGGTATATCATCTAAGTCATAGTATTTTCAATTGCCTCATATGCATGTGGAAGCTGGACAATAAATAAGACCCAAGAAGAATTGATGCCTTTGAAGTGTGATGGTGGCAACAAATATTAGAATCCACCATGATTTACCGGAAAGGGGAACAAATCTGTATTGTAAGTATAACCAGAATGCTCTTTAGAAATATTGGGGATGGGAAGGTGGGGAAGAGCAGGGGGGTTCCTAAAATTGATATGGCAGTGACTGTACAATTCTCCTTGATATGATATGACTGAACGATTGAATTACTGAAGTGTATGCTATGTAAATGACGTGCCAATACAACTGTGAATAACAATAATAAATAAAGAAGTTTTTTTAAATAAATAAGTTTTAAAAAGAGAGAAAGAAAATGAATATGGCAGTGCAGGACATCACATGTGGTAAAGTAAAAGGTCAGGAAAAAAGACAAAGGCCCTCAATGAGATCGAATGAAACATTGCTGTGATGTGGGCGCAAACATAGCAATGATTCTGACAATGGAGCAAGACTAAACAGTGGTTAGCCCCCAGTAATTTCCACTAAAAGGGATGACAGGAAACTGCTAAATCTGCATTTTTCTGTTAAAATAGAAAAACCTCTGCCAAAGGCTGCATATTTGTGGAGACCCGGAAAAATAAGGCACTTCCACTGAGTTCCAGCTCCTACAAGTTTTGGGTAAATTACAGATGTTTAATAAAACCATGTGTTTAGTAGCCGAATGGTTATCACCACCCAATCAAGAATTTTTACCATGTCAACTAAATAATCATAGGATCTGCAATCCCTCCCTTGTTTTAGGGATTAATGAAATATGGAAAGGATTAGTATACTTCTCATTACACAGTAGACACTCTACCATCATAATTGTTACTTTTGAGATAGTGCTTGGCTGCTAACCAAAAGATCAGAGTTCAAACTCACAGGAGGAGTAAACAATCTGCTGATGGGCACCCATAAAGAAAAGAGACAGTCCAGAAAATTCTCTGGGGTGGTGCTACTCAAGTTAGAATCAATTAAATGACACTCAACTTCTGTGAGGGAAAATTATTCAAGAGATTACAGAGCCACACAGCTCAATCTTGCATTTTAAAAATAATTTTAAATTGTTAAAAAATTCGGCAGTGGGGGGGGGGTTGTATACCAACTTTAGTGACACTAATGTTAATAAGTTCTGATAACTCACTACCATCGGACCAGCCTACATGACTTCTTACTTTACAAGATTTACATACACTGAGTAGTCTTGGTCTCTACCACAGTGTAACCCTTATGGTTTTATTTTTTTCAAGTATCTTAATACTGAAATGTTTTCACTCACACTTTGATGTAAAAACTGACCTGTTATACCCTATTTCTTTAGGTAGCATTTCTTTGTTTTGTCATTTAAAAGTAAGCTGCAGGCATCGTGGCACTTTACCTTACACACACAAACGTCATCATTTAAGACAAGACCACCTTCAATTACGGTCCAGTAAAAATACTCTTTCTGTGATGTTTTCACTAATTATGCCAGGTGGAAGTGGCACTCCACATTCCTATCAATAAGAAAGTTGGGGTATTTGTTTTCTAGTTTGATAGGGCATACAAAATCTGAGGCAGAACAAAATGCATTTATTGAATTTCCTAGAGATAAACATATTTTAAGCTTCTGATTACAACTTTATGGACCAGAATACAGAAGACTATCAATGAAATTAGACACAGCTTTTGAAAATGTTTAATATGCTACGATCACAGTGTCGAGGACAATGAAAGAGAAAAGCAGTTTTGAAGTTTTTCACTTGAAATTAGCTTAAAGACCAACTGTGAAAGTACGCGGCTCCAGGGTGTCCACTAATAACATTTTGGTTTGTAGTATAAGTCCTTAAGTACGTATCTCTCATGTACTGACTCAAACAGAGCCTTACAGAGGAGAAAAAAAAAACCATTGCCAATGAGTTCATTCTGACTCTTACTGATCTTATGTAGGAATTCGAAGACTATAAATCTTTAAGGTTGGCAGTTTGACCCCACCAATTGCTCCGAGGGAAAAAGACGAAACGTTCCGCTCCTGTAGAAATCTGCATCCTCAGCAACCATACAGTCAGTCTACAGGACAGTCTACTCTGCCGCATAGGTGAGCTATGAGTTGACAACTAGATGGCACTGGGATATCCAAAGGGATGCTATTTATTGGGGACCTCATAAGACTATAATAATAATACAAATCTTCTTTCTAGCGAACAACCTGTAAGCTCTCATTTTATTACTCTTTAAATCCTTCCATCCTTCTTCCTTTAATTAACTAGTTATTTTTTTTAACTAGTTATTTTTTGGTTAATGATTCCTAA